TCCAGAATTTTAGAAGAAAAATTAGGATTACCTGAGAGTCCAAAGGCAGAAAATGCAGAAAGAATCATTTGTTGTACCATTTCAGGAGTAAGTGTGTTTGTAAGAGGTGTAGGAACAGAAGTTGAAACATGCAATGTAGTAGAACTAGAGGCACCAACAGAGGCATGATAAGCAACTCCTTGCTTTCTTTCAGGTCGAATCGGAAAAGCTATGATGATATGCCCTCGCTGCTTGCAGTAGTTACAAAATTTTTCTGAGCAATCCTTTGCAATATGACCAAATCTTTTACAACTGTAACATTGGACAGAACGCATATCTTTGCTCTTATTTCTTCCTTGTGCTGCATAGGCCACATTAGCAAGAGCACTAGAATTGCTTTTGTGTTCCATGGTTGCTTGAGTTGCTATGCGTTGTTCCTTTCGAAGAAGTTCACTCAAGCAAGCATCCAAAGCTGGTACTGGGTCACGGTTCATCATATTAGAACGAGTGACTTCAAAGTCAGAGCGCAGCTTCATTAAGAATTGGTCTCTCTTGCTGGTTTCATGCACTTTTTGGACAGCAGAGAGGGCTTCGTCAGAGATACCAACATAAATAATGTTTGTATATTCAGCCCAAAGATTTTGAAAACCAGAAATATATTCCTCAATTGAGAGACTCCCTTGTGCAAAATTAGCCATCTCATACTCCAATTGAAACCTCCTAACTGTGTTTTCTTGATTATAAACATTTTTCAAATAATCCCACATTTCCTTAGCAGTTTTATAAGGCCTCAGATTAAGAATAAAGTGAGGCTCAAGTGAGCTAAGTATCCAAGACATGATTTGGGCATCTTTGATTTCCCATTTTGCCAAATCCTCTAGACTTGTAGGTGCTGGTGTTTTTTTCCATCAATATGACCCCATAAATCTTTCCCTTTGACAAATAATTTGAATTGAAACTCCCAAGCAAAATAATTTTTTCCATTAAATCGAACAAGAAAGGAATCAAACTTATCATAAGACATGATGGAGTAATAAGGATCAACAATTGAACACAACAACAAAACCAGAAACCTAGGAAAATGCACAAATAGAGGGCACAAACTTTGAATCAAAACCTGATTGCAAATCACTTTGCTCGCTCCAAATCACCCAGAAAGATAAGTCACGAAGATACCCACAAGATCACAAGACAAGAATAACGTTTTCTATGGACCAAAACACAAGAGTTGACCACAGTTCAGAGTTGTGGCTCTGATACCATGTCAAAATATCAAGAGACTAGAAAACATTTTATAGTATGACAAGAGCTTTTGTTTTGAATAATTCATTTATCTTCTGTGGTCTCTCTTTCTTAAATAGACAACAAGATATATATTTTTTACAAGAAGGTGAGAGATTACAGGAGTTATACAAAAAATGGAGAGATTATAGGAGATTTCCTAACTGCTAGGATATATACTCGTATAAAATAATACAGCTATAATCCTATTAAAACAGGTAATAAATTATATTAAATATATTATTAACACTTACAAGTTAATAACTTTACACACTTTGCTAAAGGATAGTTATTTTTTTCTTAAGCTATTGTAAATAATTTGACACTAAATTCTGGCTTTTGTTTTAGTGTTAATTTGTCCATCCATCATGAATGTAATATTTTTTACCCCCAAACAACACCCAACACCCAATTCTCAATTTTTTGTTATATTTTTTCGTCTTACTGTTAGTCTCAGAACTCATCTCATTTCTCGAAACACCCGTTGACTCAAACTCCAACTTCATTTTTTTTCCCGATCACCCTCCTTTTTTCTTTCAAAACTCATTCTCTCTTTCAAAACTCAAAAACCACTCATTTTTTCTTTTGAGACAATCTTCTCTACCCCACTTTCCATCTCAAAACCTAACTCCTTTTTTTTTCTTAAGGTTCTTAAGATTTTTGTTATTAATTTCATTAAAATAATATGATAAAATATAGATAAATTTAACTGTTATTTAAATGTAAAACGGTTTTAAATTATGATGGCTACATGGTTGTTAAACATATATATATATAATATTATTCACTTTGGGCCTAAGCCCTCACGGATTTGCTTTTGGACATCACCCAAAAGGTCTCTCGACCAATAGAGACAACTATGTGTATATAAACATATGTCCTGAATGATGTGGGACTTTGCTTGCATTCCAATAATATATTTAATAAATCAATTATCTAGTTCAAAGTTCAAACATGCTTGAAAAAAAAGTGAGTTTGATTTTCATTAATATATACAATTAGTAGGAATTGACTCCTCTAAAACTAGAAAATAAAATTTAGTAATCATTAATTAACGATTAACATTATAATTAATTTTAGATTTTATTTTATAAGAATTTGATTGTATGATAATTCTCAATGGTTAAATCCTTAAGTGAAGCAGTATCAGTAAAAACTGCAAGAAATGTATTATCACTACCCATCTTACGTTGAGAAATGGGCATTTTGTGAAGAAAAGAAACAGTCACATTATTCTCACACTGAGAAACTATAGGGTGGATGGAAAGATTATACAATATCTCAACATGTGAGACCTCATCTTCACATGCATCACAACACAATTTCTCTTGTGATATTTTCTTTTAACTAATACCAACAACAAAAACCGCTTGCAACTAAACTTTACACCACTTGGTTCATCTAAATGGAAGTGTTACCAGCAACTATAATTCCATCAAGTCACTCAAGAGCACCAAATCAGGAACAAATGTTGTGCAGCAAAACCAGCAAATGGTTTCTAGTATTATTGTTCGTGACATGCAAAAGCCAATTGTTCATATCACATGTTATTTCGTGTATCCATAATTCCATGAACAGCAAAAGCTAAGCCTATGATCACGGGACAAAACCAGCCTACAAACTATTAAGGATTCATATCTTTTGCCAGTTAATGCTACACATGTTTTGCAAAAGATTCATGGAGTATGACCAGATTAACTGATTTTCAACCTATATTCATCGAACAAAATACTTGAATTGAATCTTTCAAAGATGTGGGGTATCCTTTTACTTGATTCATTTTCATTAGCCATGAGCCTATCACCATTTAAGTAACTAGTAACTGTAACTGTGGTATGTATGGATTTGTGTATAAAAAATAATATAATTAAATTTTAAATATAAAATAAGTGAGTTTTAATTTTAATTTCTGAATATTTTATTTTTCATTTTTTAAAGTTTATAAACACTGTTTTTTTAATAATTTTTTTGTAATATAATTAAGTTTTTAATATATTTTTAGTTTTGATAAAATAAGTGAATTTCAAGTTTAGTTCTTGAATTTTTTGTTATTTTCACTTTTTAAAATTAGTAAACATTATTTTCAGTCTTTGCAATATATTTTTTATGCATGTAAAATATGTAAATTTTGATTTTGGTTGTGTATATTTTTATCTCTCTGACATATAAAATTACTATTGGTGTCTAACAAAATTAAAAATAATAATTTTTAATTACTCAATTAAATGACATAATAATTATCATCCAAATTTAACGTATAATATTATTATATATAAACTGTAATATGTAACTTTCATACATATGATAATAAACTCTCCTATATATAATTACTAGTGATATTATGACTTTGGTATTTACAAAACCGATAATTGATTATGGATTTTTGTATTGTTTTATTTAACTTTTTATAATTGATTATGAGTTATTGGATAAATTGATTAAAAATCAAAACTAAATATTAAAAATATATTTTTTTTGTTTTAATTATTAAAATATTAAAAATATATAGATATTAAAAATTTAATACCTTTTTATTATTTGTACTAAATATTTTTTATTTCCATAAAATATGTATTTGAATTTTGAATTTGTTATTTGAGTTTCCATAATTCTTTTTTTAATATATTAAAAATGATAGACCCAAAGAGAAACAATATCAAGAAAAAATCTTAAAATTATTATCATTGAATAAAAATTCTTAAAACAACTTTTGTTTAAGAATGATAGCTTAAAATACTCTCTTTCAATATATTTATTCTGATTTTTTTTTATATCTATCAAGGATGAGGATATAAATTATTTTTTGGATTTGATTATTCTAAAGTGAAGAAATACATTTTAGAGGATAAAGTGCATTCAAAATTATTGATTAAAATATAAATGATTAAAATTTGTAATAAAATCAAATTCTTTAATATAAAATTTAAAATTAATTATAATATTAATTATTAATTTTTTAATTAATGATTATTGTTGCACTTTATATTTTAAAGTGTAATTTTCTCACTTTAAAAGAGCGATCATTGTTTTCTATGCTAAAATGTAGAAAATAATTTATCAATTCTTATTTATTAAACACAAACTTCAATCTTACACGAAAATATTTTTAAGATTTTTTTCTTCAACAAAATGAGTTTTAATTTTTTATTATCTAATTCTATTTTTATTTATCATAATTATTTATAAATTAAATTTACATATCTTTAAAAGAAATTATCAATAGACAAAAAATATTATATTATAATATAAATTATTTAGCATAAATCTAAAATATGATTTATATGTTTAAAAATATATATTTATATAAATTTTAAATATGATTTATATTCAAACATAATATTTATTCATATATATTATTTATTATAAATTTTGTTATATAAAATAAATATTTTCCTTGTATATACATATACTAAAATACTAGTTTTTTGATATGTCAATAAATATTTTTGTTACAATAATTTAAAAATTTAATTTTTTAATTCAAAAAGTTATCTAAAGCAAATTTTTAGTGAATGCTAGTTTGAATAACAAAGAATTATTAGTTAAAGATAGCGTGTAAAAAGATATTTTATTTGAATTGCTCACTTCAGTTGCTTAAACTGATATAATAAAAAATTGAATTACTTTCTCCTTTTGCTTTTTGGTGAACCAATCAGAAAAAGATTTTGTAAAACCGTTCCTATATGTAATCTAATCCGAATTAAATGACACTAACTGACGTACCCTCCTTGATTTTCTGTATAAGTATTTCCTTCAATAGCTCCTCTTTTCTTGTTCCTGTGTCTCATTCCACTTCTTCTCTCATAGAAGTTTCTTCATTCTTCAGCTTCTCTTTTCTTCAAAAAGCACTTGCTTTTCTCTCATGGTAATCACCATTACCTTTCTCCATTCTGCATTATAATTATAATACAATTCTGCTTAATGTGTTGAATCAGCAATGGGATTTGATTTGTTTTGCTTATCTGACTCTTGGATTAATTTTTATCTGAAATTCATGCATGCTAATATGACAGATTTTTTTTTTCTTAATTTTTTGTGTTTAGGCTTGAAAACAGAATCTTTATATGAATTTTGATGATGGGTTGCTTTTTTTTTTTTTTACCTTGTTTTCCCCACAAAGTATAGTAACATGATGATTTTGTTTCTGAAAATCAGACCTAGAAAGCAAAATTTTTATTTTCTGCACTTGTTTTGATGGTGTTCTGATCCATGTTTTGGTGCTAGATGCCTTGTGCTAAGCCTGATGCGTCTGAGAAAGACTCAGAGCCATTTGTTGAGAAGGATCCAACTGGAAGATATGGCAGATACAGTGAATTACTAGGATCTGGAGCTGTGAAAAAAGTGTACAGGGCATTTGATCAAGAAGAGGGAATAGAGGTGGCTTGGAACCAAGTGAAACTGTGGAACTTCAGTGATGACCCTGCCATGGTGGATAGGCTCTATTCTGAGGTGAGATTGCTGAGAAGCTTGAAAAACAAAAACATAATCTCCCTCTACAGTGTTTGGAGGGATGAGAAGCACAACACATTGAATTTCATCACTGAGGTCTGCACCAGTGGGAACCTGAGGGAGTACAGGAAGAAGCACAGGCATGTGTCAATGAAGGCCTTGAAGAAGTGGTCCAAGCAGATTTTGGAAGGGCTGAATTACTTGCATGAGCATGACCCTTGTATCATCCACAGAGACCTCAACTGCAGTAATGTGTTTGTCAATGGGAATACTGGCCAGGTAACATTCTCTTTTTTTCCAAATGAAAAGTTTGCTTCAATCACATGTTTGCTTGATTAACAATTTGAAAGCCAACTAAAAGAGAAGCTTTAAATACCTAAGGGTCCCTAAATCCCTATTATTTGCTAAATTTTAGCTTTTTAATTTCTATAATAAAAATTAGAAATCCTTTATGATTTATGAAATTTGCTTGCATTTCATACATGTTTAAGATATAACCTTTAAACTTCATTTAAAGGTTAGTCTTTTAAATGAATTTCAATATCTTAAGAATTAAGAAATTAGTTCCTGACTCTTAGGTTTATGACATTTCTGGTTCACACAGAAAAACTTGACAAGTTATGTTTAAATTAGGATAGTTACAATTTTTTTGCTCTTTATTGCAAGATGTCACACGTGATATTTTTGTTTTCATATGTATTAATCAGGTTAAGATTGGTGACTTGGGTTTGGCTGCAATTGTGGAGAAGAATCATTCTGCACATTCAATTCTTGGGACACCCGAATTTATGGCACCTGAGTTATATGATGAGCACTACACTGAACTGGTTGACATATACTCATTTGGAATGTGTGTGTTAGAGATGGTGACACTGGAGATTCCTTATAGTGAGTGTGACAATGTTGTCAAAATATACAAGAAGGTGTCATCAGGTGTGAGACCTCAGGCCTTGAACAACATCAAAGATAGTGAGGTGAAGGCCTTCATTGAGAGGTGTCTTGCTCAGCCAAGTGCTAGACCTTCTGCTGCTGAACTGCTCAAAGACCCTTTCTTTGATGTAACTGATTATGATGAAAATGGGGATTCTGCTGCTTTATGACTAAAATTGTTTTTAGATTATAAGATAATATATTTGTGTTTTCTATTTTTTTTTTCAAAAAAATGATTTATCCCTTTTTTGAGTTGATAAGTCAAGGTGGGGTAGGCTTGTGTCATTGGTTTTATTTTTCCCTTTGTTAGGTTGTGTAATTGGAAAAGGGTTGAACATGGGTAAAGAATGAAGATGCTTGATTTGTGATGTCTTTTATTCTTCCCTATGTAGGGTTATGAAGTTGAACAAGTGTTGGAGGGTGTGCTTATTGGAGATATTGTGATCTTGTATATTCAAAATTCTATATAAAATTTAATAATTTTTTGGTAAAAGTTACAAGTGTTCAGCTTAAGTACCTATAGTGGCAGAAACTTAGAAAATGAATGGTGAATAAATTCAGTTTTATGCTTTTCTTTGTGCTTCATACAAGATTTGGCAATTCTGCTATTGTGGTTTAAGATTCATTGATTTTGTACTCATTTCTTAAATTCTTGGGGTGATGAAATATTTGCATTTTGAAATACTCCTTCCTATTCATAAAATATGTATATTTCTTTTTTATATTATAGTTTACATAAAAATATTTGTTATTTTAAATGTATATGAGAGATGAGTAACAATAAGTAAATCCTTGTGCTATAATCATAAGAACTCTATCTGAGAATGGAAAGATATTTAGGATAATGGTTTCTCTGTTCATTGCCTCCTCTTAATTATGATAACCAAATCTTGGAACAATCAAAAGCATTGGAAATTTGAAACATGTCACATTATTTGAAATGATTATAAAATCAAACATTAATTGTAGTCAAAAGTTTGAATAAGGTTTGAGCAAAATCATTATGGCCAGCTAGAGATGAGATGATAACCTCAACAAAGAAATGAGTTTTCAAATTTGGAAAATTGGTCAAATACTTTAGGAGAAGGAAAAAGGTTCATGATAAAGGAAACTGAGTATGACGAAAATAGCCTTGAGTGTTGTACAATCTCACCCAATTTTCTGGGGAAATTATTGTAGCTGATAACAACCAGTCTCATTCATTTTTCTTAACAAGTAATGGCGGTTTGAGACTGACTTCAAAACTTAATATAATTGCCAAAACAATAAAATGAAATATAATTTACATTTGATAAGAAAAAATAAATAATTTTTCGTTGGATTTGACGACGGACTTGTAGAACAACTGTCACCAATCCAATAACATAAATTCATGATGGATATAATGGATTTAATAGGTCGGTCTAATCGATAAGGAAAAGATAAAGAGGGATATGGTAGTGAAGATTAAGTAAGAAATTATAACAATTTCAAAAATAAAATAAAATTATAAACTACTTATATCTATTTTTGGTGACTATTACGTGAAAAACTTTGTTTCATTGAGAAGTGTTAATAAGTAACATCATTTTTAATACACTCTTCAATAAGTACTCTTTAACTATAGTACTTATCTATAATATAAATTCTCTTTAGTTATATAGTACTTATCTATAATTATAGATAAGGGGTATTATTTTTTTAATTTTTTACTTTTTTTTTTAAATATATTTATCTTTTAACTAATTTATTTATATTTATTTTAAATATTTTTAACTTTATTTTATTTGTTATTGCACAAGTTCTCTTTTAAATATAATCACCATTTACATATAAATACAAAATTTTAGATTGAACACCCTCTCTTCTTATTGTAATTGTTGCAATACATGTATAATTCATCATCTTTCTTATTTTAATTTTTTCTTTTATTTTTTATATTTTTATTTTCATTTAAATAAAATATATCAATTTTGTAATGTTTGATTAGCAAAAATATATCATGTAAATGTTCATTAATCTTTAGTTGTCAATTTTATAATACTAAATTAGTTATATCTATAGAAGAATAAAAATTATTTGAGACATGTCCAAAAAATCGAAAAGAGTAACACTGAAGAAGGTAACTCGAACAATGATCATATTTTAAATATAACCACATACTATAGTTACTCTCATATCCCTTTTGATAGTTGAAACCCGAAAATCAAAAGAGGTAGAATACACAAAAAGATAGCAAGAATAGATGGAGATCGAGATTGATATTCTATTCACTAATTTGGTGTAATTCTTCTAGTATTGTTCTTTTCCCTTGAGTTTCAACTTTTCACTATCTAATTAGTTTTTTTTTTTTTTTTTTTTGTCTAAAACCAATTATAAAAAGTGAAAGTGTTATCAATTTTTTTTCTTGTTTCGACAGAGATCACATATATTCCTTGTTGGAGATTTATATTTCTATGTTTAATATAGCTATTTTAATCACAATCATATTAGTTATTTATATTTAGTGACTTACATCTCAAGTGATTTACTTATGCTTAAACTATTAAATTGATGTGATGTAAGCTTAATAAGTATATATCTGCCTAGATACAAATTAAAAATTTTTTTTTATTTTAATTTTTCTATTGAAAATGAAGAATATTTTTTAGTAAAAAATCTATAAAAAAAATGTTTATAAATTTGAATTCAAACTGGCTCTATATCAATAAATAAGGAATTCTAGACATGGTCTCTATTTCCAAACAGGTTCTATGTGAAGGTCCATTGAAGAATCAAAAGGCTTCAAATGAAGAACAGTAGAATCACCAACTCTCGTTCGTGACCTATTTGCTTCAAGTCATTTACATTAATAAGATGTTCAATGACTATGTAACCAAATATTTATTCTAATCCTTGCTAATCAAGCATATTACAGATTGTATGTGAATTTTTTGGCTTACGTATAAATAATAATTAAAGAATACTAAATAAGAATTAATATTTCAACTTCTCCACATGAAACAAATATGTTTAAACTGGATAAAATCATTATAAATAAATTTTTTTTATAAATATTTAACACAAATATATATATGACTTTAACTTGATACTACTATTTAAATGAAAATAATTTCACATTAATTGATCTAATTGGTGTAAGTGCTTTGTGATTTGTCAAATATAATTTTTATTTGTTTAATATGACTTGCATTTTGATACTATTTATTAAACTAAAATATCTTCATATTAATTGGTCTAATTGGTATACACATTTTGTGATTTGTCAAACATAATTGTTATTTGTTTGATCAAATTTTTGGAGTTGTAAGTTTGAACTAGGAGTGGACGCGAATTGGATTTGACATATTTTTATTTGATATGATTAATTTTAATTGATTTAGATTTGTTCAATTTTTTTATTTTTTACTTTTCAATCTAAACCAATCTAATCTAATCATTATTTGATTTCGTTTGAATTGGTTTATTGGATTTGTTATTAAAATATTAAAAATTAAAAATTATATTAAAAAATCGGTTCGATTCTTGGAAATCATAATCTAAGATCTAAATAAACTAATTAAATTTACAAAATTTGAATTTGAACAAATTTAAATTTATTGAATTTGTTATTAAAATAATGAAAATAAAAAAATTACATTAAAAAGTAGTTCAATTTCTTGGAAATCAAAGTCTAAGATCCAAACAAACCCATTAAACTTACAAAATTCAAATTCAAACAAATATGAATTTTTTTTCTTCTTTTAATTTGGTTCAAATTCATTAGATCATTGATAGGAAGTTAGGAACAAGTATATGGATTGGTTCAAACCCATTTAAGTCCCAACCCACGGAGTATGCATTTTTAATAAGTCTGATAAGTTTGGTCATTAAAATAAGCGATTTTTTTTTGGTCCATACCCGATCCGCAAATTCTTCAGATAAATGGACCCGTACATGGGCCTAATAAGAATATGAAAACTTAAAAAAATAAAATAAAAATTTTCAAATTGAAAGAGGTTTTTTTCCCTTCTTTTTTTAAGCTATAGAAACATTAAAAAAGAAGATAAATACATAAAAATATAAATAAATTTGTAATAAAATAAAATTTTTAATTAAATAAAAAATCAAAATCTTAATCAAATAATTAAATCAAAATCAAAATTTAATTATTTTAAAATTTAAAAATAAATACACCAACAAAACATAAAGATTTTATGTCTTAAAAATTTTAAAGTACAAATATACCAACTAAATATCATATGTCTTAAAAAAAATTATTATTGTTAAACAGGTTAGCTTGTGAGTTTCGATGATTAAGTTTTAAAATCTCCAAACTTCATAAATCAGGAGAAAAATTCAATATCATTAGATGGATTTTAAAATAACAGACCCCTCCACATAGCTATGAACTTAATTGGTAGGTCCATGGATCTTGACCCATATATCCAACTCTAATGATTAGTTCAAATCATAATTGCTCCAAATTTGATCACAATCATATAAGACGATATGTATTAATAGGTTATACATTAATTCTTTACATTATGAAAAAAAAATTAAAATTTTATTTACATCATAAATTCTAAAACTTCTCTAGAATAATAATTTTTATCTTCCTATGAAAGAAATAATGTATAAGATATTTATTTTTCCTAGAAGACACAAAATTAATAAGAAGAAAACGTTTGAAAAAGTGCTTTTGATCTTGAAGTATCAGCTTTAATGAGTGGCAGACCCACTTGTTAGATTTTAAATTTGCTCATTTTATGGTAAAATACGATGATAGTGGTGATGCTTTAAACAAACAAAATCACACTTTTCTTTAAAATTTCAAATGACTTTTGTTAATGTCTATTGATCTCCATGTCATTTCAGTCATGTAATCATGTAAATGATTTGTTTTTGGTTGAAATTTAAAAAAGTTTGCTAAATTAACTATAAAATTTTGTGTTTTTTCAAACGAGAAAAAATAATTGTGGATAATGTAAAGTATTTTTACTCTTTCATTTAATTATAATTTTTTTTTTATAATAACTTTATTGACTTTAATAACCGTAATCACCGTAAAGTTATATCAAAACTTATATATAATTACGTGATATTTAAAAAAAAACCTAAAACTTCCATGCGAGATATTTTATATACAGAAACTTGCTATGAGGCCATATTTATTATCATTTTAACATATAAATAATTAAATAAGTCTAAAGATCGAAGATTAGTTTCCTAGTTAATCTAAAAAAAATTGAAGCTTGCACGGATATTTTAGAGTCTTATATAAGAAAAAGATGTTAAATTATATCGGTATAATTTTTATAAAATATTATAAAATCAATAATTTAATATTAAAAATAAGATTTGTTATATAGTTGAATTATAATTTTATATTATCTTGAATATTTATATTAAATTTTATAAAATTGAACAATAATAAAAAGATACACAAATTATTTGTATTTTAATATATTTTAAAAATATATATTACATTTATTTTGATTTATATAAAT